GTAGCAACTACCTTCCATCTCAAACTGACCCACAAGCTTCTGAGCTGGTGAGACCTGGTTGCCAACTTAGACCCAAGGGCAGCAGGATCATCCCTCAGGCAGCAAGTGGCACCACAGGAAGAGCTGCTTCCAGCAGAGCCCACAAACATGGTGCTAAGGGAAGGCAACACACACAGCTTCAAACACCCAGCATAGCCCCATTGCACCAGCTTCTGCCAGACCCAGCCATAAGCAGGGCTAGAGCTAAGGATAGAAAGGCAGGCTCCCTCTTCCTGCCCTGCCCTTCAGGAAAAGCAGCCCCTAACCGTTGCATGAAAAGGTCCTGTATACCCATGCCATGTGCAACAGGCCCAACCAGCTGAAGTGGCTCTGCATTTACCACCAGAGTCTGCTGATGCTGCCTTTTGAAAAGCCCTCAGAGATGTTGGTTACAGCCACAAGACCCAACAGCTAACCCCAATTCTGCCACTGACATGCTGTGTAAACTTGGGCGTGTCACCTCATCCCTGTCCTCTCCACACACGCTCCTGGTCTGTCCCTAGACTTTAAAAGGTAAGCTTGTCTTTTCCCAGGAATGTTTAGCTTAGCTCCTGGAGTCCCTGGTCCCACTGAGCTCACTGGCTGCTACTCTGAACTATGCCAACATGCCAACAGGAGAGCAACTGGGTTGCATATTTGCTTCCCTTTCATCACACCTGATTTTCCCCTTTGATGAAGGGATTGAGTGGATTGGCAACTCCTGGTACAAGATTTCTGTCCCATTATCCCCCAACTAGCCAATCATGCCCTAGGACCTATCGCAGCAGGTCTTCTGTGCAGTCACTTTGGGAGGGTTTATGTGAACATGAGTGGAGCAGGCTGTGCCCTCCCATGGCCACACTCTGGCTGGAGTCACTCAGCCCCAGACCCTCACCCTCTAGTTGGTAGCAGGATAATCAGAGGCTGGAGGCTGAACCCGAACTCTGGGAGCAGCTTTTTATACACAAAGACCACCCAGAGACACTACTTGGAAAATCCAGTTTATTTTGGAGATGGAACAACCTCCCTTACTTGCAGCTGCCTGTAGTACACAGAGCCTTCAAGCAGCAGCCCAGCACCAGCCCAGCCCAGAGATGTGCAGTGCCCCTGCCTGCCAGTTGCTGTGCTCAGCCTCCGGGCTTTACACACAAGAGGAGCTTCCAATAAATGGACCCAAGGTGGCTAGAAATCAACTGAAACACAGGAAATGGAGACTAGACAGGGGAAGCAGGGAGCTGGAGCAGGAAGAAGGGCCAATTCTGATGCCACAGCTAGCACACAGGGCAGGAGGCTGACCTATACCTAGGGCGGGCCGGCAATTATTTTCGGCGGAAGGCCACTTACTGAGTTTTGGCAAGACACCAAGGGCTGCATGATAGGCAGCCAGGGGCAGACAAATACTAATTTTCTAAGTTTTTTAGGGGCTCTGCGGGCGGAATAGAATGGCCTGGCAGGCCACATCTGGTCCACAAGCTGCATTTTGCCCACCCCTGACCTAGGGAGTCCATCTCATTATTCACAGGCTGCAGCCTTACACTGTGCTTAACCTGCTGGCAGATGCAGCATCTGCCCTTGAGCACTGCCTCAAGCTAGGTATGTACCTGGGTCTCTGCAGAAGCAGGTTGGGCTCCATCTGTGGTCAACTGGTCCAAGCAGTAAGGGTACTGCTTAGGAAGGGCCAGTGCTAGGCCTAAAGGGCCAGCGCTGTCTGTGGATAGTCACCCGTGTCCATGAATTGCCTCCCAGAATTCTTACCGGATGGTTGAATCTAATGCCCCACAATCCCAGAGGCAACTCATCCCTCAAGCCCCAACACCTCCCTATCACAAGAAGCTAAAGCAGGAGTGGGGGAGAAATTGGAGGAGGAGGGGGGACTTTTTGGCAGCTGTGCCACAAATTAGACTGCACCATCCCCAAAGTGCTGTGCTGATCCTCTTCCCCTGCCTGACCTGGTGTTCTGCTTTCTGTTCCCTACTCTGTATGCCTTGCCCAAGGCATACAGAGTAGTCCTACTACTACTCTGCTTTCTGCTCCCTGCTTTCAGCTGCTGCACTGCTTGCCTGCTCCCTGATCTGCTGGATGCCACAAAACAGGCTGCCTGACCCCCTGTGGCACTTGTGTGCAGGTTGGCCACCCCTGGGCTAAAGGGAGCTGAGCCCACACACTGGGATCCCCTTAGAGACACTGCAGATGTGTACATTGTACATAGCACATGTGCTTGAGCTCCAGGTCCAGCACGCTGGTCATGCAGCCACAGCACAGCGTGTGTTGCAGGTTTGTATTTCTGCAGGCATGCAAAGGTTTGGGAGAGACCATTCATTCCCTTGCTCTAGAAAAGCCAGAACTGCCAAGTGGAGCCTTTTGGTGGGAGAGGGTTAAAAACTGAAAACTCGTTAGAAATACTCTTTGGCACGGTCTGATTTGTGCCAGGAGCCCAATAGCACACAAACTGCAAGTAGAGAGCTGGTGCACTCAGAGCCCTAATCTGCACACCCAGGGTAGCAAGTGCCGAGTCCTGGAGTGGCAGCCTGGTGCTGCAGAGGGCAATAGGAGCATTGCCGCTGATGTCTGTGGAGTCAGAACCCTCCGCTCTCTGCCCTGGGTCCAGCCGCTGCTGTAGCTAAGGGAGGGCCGTGGAACTTAAGCTGGTGGAAAAGCCGTGCCGTGCACATGTGCCTGAGCCCACAACAGCTCCAAATGCAGTGACTGGTGGGTGGGAGCCTCAGCGATTTCTCAGCAGGCACAGGCCCACCAAAGAGTAACAATTGTAAACACCAGCCACATCTAGAGCCAGTTTCACAAGTGGACCTTGCAGGCCTGCTCAGGGCTTTCCCCAGGGGCAGTCGTTACTGCTGTAGCTTCCAGTGCAGCGTCTGCTCTGACTGGCTCTTCAGCTGGGTTGGTCAGCACTGGGATATACTACATGCAGTCTATCCAGGCTTCACATCCAGGCGGTAGTGCCTGGGAAAGCAGCCTCCCATAGTCATGTTACAATGCCAGGTGTTGACCTGTAGTCACCCAGCTCCAATTCCAGTGAGCCCTTGTTTTTGGGAAAGCCCCAGCTATGATTTTGGGTAGGAGAGCAGAAGAGCTTACATGCATGGTATCCCCTCCCCACTGCCGCCTCCACATTCAGCCAGCCCCCAAGAAAGGCTGATTTCAGGTCTACTCCTGCTTCCACTGCAGGTTTCTCACTGGCCTCAAATGGAGAAGGCTAAGCTCTCACTGCCCAGAAGCTGCCCAACAGCATAAAAGTAGGGTATGAAGCCAATGCCCCACCTTCTGTTACAGCAGCACTGGGCCTGTCAGACAGCAGACTCCCAACCCCCTACTGGCATCTCCCCAAGGCCTCTCCTGCCACCATAGCTTTGGTGCTGCAGTCAGTTTCAACTGGGAGCAAGAAGCGGTGATGGAGGTGCTGACTGACCAAATGCAGTGCATGTGCTTAGCCCCCTGCATCTAACAGGACTAGCAACTTGCCAGCTTGCTGTAATACCCAGCAACTACAGGGCCCCTGCCTGCTAATAAAGCCAACACAATGCAGTCAAGAGCCAGGAAAGTTCTTAGTAATATGATGCACCATCATAGTCATAACAAGGTGGGGAGGGGGGGCAGAAATAGAAAAGAAGGATCCAGTTACAGGAACAGAAAAACAAAACAAAACCAAAAACCCCAACAGCACAATTACTGGAACAGAACTAGAGCCCCTGCCCATAAATATTAGTTCATTTAGTATGTGCAATCGTATGTCATACTATAGTGCAATATCTCAGCGCTGTGGTGATCCTGGAGCAGTCAGACAGGACAGGATGGGAGAGGTGCTGGTTGGCAGTGGGGGGGACAGACAGATACAGCTCAACCAAGGTGCTGGAAAAATGGGAAAAAACACACTGGCAAGGTCACCAGCCACATCTTCCGCGGGTGGGGGCTCTGCAATCTGGGGAGCCTGATCCTGCAGAGTACCTAATGCCCTGGAGATCCACTTGCTTCCAATGCTCCGTGGCAGCAGCTGCCCCCATGGGCAGAGTAAGGTATGGGACACACAACACACACCAGATGGAGCATAACAGCAGTTCCTGTGGGAGCAGGACCACAGGTGAGGCTGAGCCAGGGGAGGCAGGGCTATTCATGGCTTGGCTGATGGTCCTCCAAGGGCCTTCCCCAGCCAGCAGGGACCACAGGGACACACCTCCACTGGAACATGACTAATGAGATACTGGATTGACTGGGGGCTGCAGACCCACACTGGAACCTGGGCCTATGCTGGATGCAGCTCTGGAGTGCCCAGAGCTTGATGGTTTGGGTTCACTACCCCAGCACATTAATTTCAATGTTTAAAGAAGATAGCACCTGGCATCCCAGACCAGAGACCTGGGGGATGGCTCTTCCCTTCCACTAGGCAAACTTCAGGCTCTTCAGAGCAGAGTTGGCTCTTTTCCCTCCACCCAGCTGCCCGTTAATAAAGCCAACACAATGCAGTCAAAAGCCAGGGTGAGGGTGAGGGGCTGTAGGAGGTGGCTGGAGTTGTGGGCCTGGGGGAGTCCTCCTTGCAGGCCAGAATCACAGCAGAGCATCGTTCCCAGTGCCCCAAGCTCTAGGCTAACAAAGGCTCCCAGACTGTGCCAGGCCCAATCCCATGCCCAAGGTGCAACTGAAGTTAGTTTCATAGTTTCAGAGTTGGTAGGGTTGGAAGGGACCTGAGCAGATCAAGTCTGACCCCCTGCCATGGGCAGGAAAGAATGCTGGGGTCAAGAGCGAGCCTCCTTTCATAGCAAAGCTGGTGGGCAATAAGCACTCCTCTAGCATGAGCTATACCTTGGATAGAGCTGCCCATTCACCTGCCCCCTACAGACAGACACGCCCTGGGAGGAGGTTCTACAACAAGGTTGGGAAACACCACAAGGTCCAACAACAGGAGGCCCTTTGCATGGATGGGTGGAGAAACGGCATTTAAGAGCAAGGAACTGGAGCTATTTTTTCCCTTTTAAGTGGTGTTTGTCTGGCTGCCGCAGTGGTTTTTGGTGAGCTAGCCAGCAGCATACACAGGGCTCAGTGCGGAGCTGATGCTTGTTTCAGCAGGTCCTGGTCAAGTCCAAGAGGTATACGCTGTGTCTGGGTTGCCACAAGGACGGATCAGTGGTGGCCCGGGGCACCTCGTGAATGGATTCAGCAGCACCAGGAGAAGGCCTCAAGGGAAGGCCTCAGTGGTCGCGGCTGACTGCAGGGTGTGTACATGATGGGCAGGAAAAACCAAGCAAACCAGGAGGGAGTGGGTGCTTGTCCCGGTAGACTATACACAAAGGCAACAGCTCTCCCCAGCCATGGCTCCATGTCCTCTCTGCAGGGCACTTTATGCAGAGTCAGAATAGCCCTTCTCAGATGGCTCTCCCCAGGATGACTGTGTGCCGCGCACAGCCCCACAGACCCCTAAGGTGGCTGTGCCCACGAATGGCTCACCTGGGGTTTTTTCTAGAGCATGATGATTTCCTTTGCACGCAGGCTGTGCGTGAATGGGGGAGGGGGAGTTTTAATCCTGAAAACTTAGCATGGTCTTTCCATCACCCTAACCTTGGATTTACAAAGCTACTGGCCACGAAGGATGAAGTGTTGGCTGTGCCGTGAGTCCAGGCTGGGTGCTAGTGTCACCTGAGCAACTCCTCCAAGTGCTACTAGGCAGCAGGAGCTCTGCAGGGGGCAACTGGCACTTTCCATGGCTGTGGTGACTTGCATCCTCGTGTGGAAAACAGCTTCCTGCTGACTGCAGTCTCCCAGCTGAGCACAGGACAAGTCTCACCCCGTGTCGAACAGCAGCAGGACAGGCACCATGATCTTTCCCAGAAGAGCTGAGGAGAAGCTAGACCAGGCCTTTGCTCCCTCTGTGGCCGCGGCCTGGCAAGCAGAATGGATGAAAGATCTGTCTGTCTGCAGGCCTGTAGGCAAGCAAAAGTGACTCTGCCCTTTCCATCTAAATGTGGTGGATGGTCCCTGGCAGGTCTGCATTCACCAAGTGCAGTTCTGGCTCTAAGCTACTTGACAGTGTCCCGTTACATCACAGCAACCAACTACGGTTACAATTCAACATGCATGCAGAGGCCAGGAGGCTGCCACCTGTGAGCGTGGTCCTGGGGGGTGGGGGGGAAGTGCAATAAGTGTGTGTGAGGATGTGCCAAGGATGAGTAAGTGACTGCAACAGGGGCAGGAGGTTCTCTTCCCCTCACAGCCACGACAACAGACCAGGCACTCGCTGCTTCCCCCCTCACCAGGGGCACAGGGAGAGCAGAACCAGAGGTGCTTTCTCCAGCCCCTGCTGCAGACAGTGGCTATGGTGTGGGTGGTGTGAACACCGATGGCAAAGGGGCCTCTCATGCAGCACAGGCATTTGGGGACTGCCCACTCCTCCTAACAGAGATGTCTGTAGTCCTCAGCAGCACTGACATCAACCCAGAGGGGTGATCTGACACCTTTCCAGCCCCCACCTCATCTCCTCTCCCCTGGAGCCAAGCAGCAATGGCATGGTGAGGGGCTGGCATGGGACAGAGATGGGCACTGGGCCCAGTCACCCCCTGGCTGGTGCCCTGCTGCTGGCCTTTCTTTCACTGCCTGAAAGGCAGGGAAAGCTGGTGAAATGCCACTATATCAGCAATGGGCCACAGGGTGCAGGCATGCTAGTTTTGCTTTCCATGCCCCACACAATCCCCCACACCAGCACATGCACAGCCCACTCATGGTCCTCATCCTGCTGACAGTGGAAGATGCCATCCCTCCACGGTGAAACCTCTCTTACATGTATACGGTATTTCAGACACACGCCAATAATATAAATTACTGTCTCTATATATACTATGTATAGGCGGCAGGTCAGTCTGTGAGGGTGGGGGGTCGGGCTGCTGTTCATTTCCCTCGGTCCTCTGTGTAGTGCTGGAAGCGGGTGAAGCTCATGAAGACCTGCTCCAGGGAGATCTGGCTGACGGAGTAGTCCTCCAGGCAGTACTTCTCTTTGGCTTTCTCCAGTGCCCCAAAGACCTGAAAAGGGGCACAAGGCTTCATGTCACTATACAATCTGACACTGGATGCCCAGCTGAGCTAAATTTTAGGGTCTGCATTAGCCAGGAGGTTGAAGCACCTCATCCCCTCTGGCCTTTGGACTCTGTGCTTCCTTAGGACTCTAGTACAAGTGCCTGCCTGCTGTGAAGTGAGCTGCTGAGCAAGAATTAGAGTCTGGGTCCCAAGCACAGTCCCCTTGTCCTGGGAGCTCTGTGCGCTCAATGAGGGGGGATGTCACCGTGGGATGAGGGGATGCACTCAGCAAGGCACATGCTCTACTAAAGCTTTCTGGGATCCTGCAGGAGAACATGGCTCTTCCCCGACCCCTGCTGGTGAAAGGAGCAAAGTCACATTTGGTTCCCAGAGCTGTTTCAGATCCCTTGGCAAGAGGGTTACAGGGATTTAGGCAGTGCGGATGCCTCTGACTAAAGAGGGATCCCTGAACTGAGGTCACCGGGCATGTGATTCAGTGTTACGACGCATGCAGGATCATAAAATCCCCCAGAGTTCCCACCACCAAAAATGCTTTAGTGTTCAACCACAGCAGTGCTGGGGCAGAGAGGTATGGAGGGGCCAGGCCTTGAGGAAAGGAGGACAAGGCCCTCAAACCAGGTCTGAAAAGGAACAGACAGTCAGCTCCTGGGGGTGCTGTTCTGAAGGGAGACCCATAGAGGAGAAGGCTCTTGTGCCAAGAGCAGGTGCTGCAGGAGGGTGAGGCTGGCAGGGGGTTCAGTCAGAGGGGGCAGGTGTGACCTGGATTCTGGCAGGGACATGATGTGGGTGACAGGACCAGCAAGGAGGGAGCTACAAGACAGCAGGTGAGAGGAGACTGTGGGACAGGTAGACATGAAGAGAAGCAGAACTGCAGCCCAAGGAAGAGAACTCAAAGACTAGGCCACCCCAGGGCTAGGGGCTGTGGAGATAAACAGGAGATTTAGGCTGAGGGGAGTTGAGGAGGGCAGCCCCCTCTGTCTGGGTCATCCAGGGGATGGAAGCTTTGGTGAAGCCAAAGGCTTCCATGGCTCAGCCCAGCAGGGTCAGGAGCAACAGAGTGATTTACTGAAGGGGTGAAAACACACCCACCATCCCTCTGGCCTGTAGCCCAGCAGCTGGGCAATCCCTCACGTCAGCCAGGGCACCATCTGCCGCAGGTTTTGGAGGAGACATTTTGGCTAAAAAGCACACGTAAGTGAAAGAGAAATTCTGCCCAAGACAGAGCCGCAGCAAGGAAGCCCCAGCTCCAAAGGCGCGAGTTCAAGATGGATTGCCCTTCTCACAGCACCAGGAGCCCAGCACCATGGTCACCCACCACCTCACAAAGCCTGAGGGGGAACAGCAGAAGAGCACTGCAGAACACACACAGGCTCCAGGCAGTACCATGTGGGCTGAGTTTGCAGTCTTAGTTGCACCAAACTCCATTATTCTTTATGGCAGTCTCTATGGATACCATGTGGCCCATCCATGGCACAACATGGAGAAAGGATTTCTAGCTAACCACTGCCCTGATGCCATGGTATTCTAAATAAAAATTTACAGGAATATTATCATGTTAAAAGAGGGCAGTGCTGGCCCTGAACTGCAGATCTCACATGGCAACAGGAATGAGGGGACAGACAACACCACTGCAGAAACGTCTGTCTGGAAGGGAAAGCAGGAGGGTCCAAGACAACTTTTGACCTTGATCATTTCAGCAGCCTGAACTTCAAGCCCTTTATAGGAGATAGCGGCAAATGAAGCCTGAATGGCACCAGTGGCCAGTGTGCGTGGAGCAGAGGCCAGCTGAAATAGCAGCACCAGCATAGCAGGAAAGATGTTCAAATGGCTGCAGATGCCAGAGTCAGGCCTTTCACTCCTTACTCATCCCCTTTCCTCTTCTGAAGCATGAGGGAAGAGGTGGTGGGACAGCTCTGGCTGGGGTTAGACCACTAACAAATACCCTTTGGCCTTCCCTTACCTGTGCCCAGCTGAGGTTCTTGTTGGTCAAGTGATAATGGACCATGCCTTGGTGTTCATGCTTCAGGACACTCCCTAGGAGACAAGCAAAGGTTTACCCAGAGTGAGCAGACAGTGGGATGTGTGCACACAGAGCTCAGTGTTAAGCTCCAAGGAAGAAGCCTTGGATTCTCCCTGTGTGGAAGGGAACAGTGGCCCAGCTGAAGGGAGGGGATGGTGCAAGGTACCTGAGAAAGTCTTCTCCACAAAGGCCTTGAAGGCCTGCAGCTCACCCTCCTCGTCAACCTGCGTTTTTGCCAGCAGTGTGTACCCACTGCCGAATTTGCTCTTCAAATGCTGCGGGCTGCCCAGGCATTTGAACTGCCCATTCACCATGATGGCCAGCCTGGTGCATAAGGCCTCACATTCTTCCATGCTGTGGAGGGGAGGAGAAAAAATATTTAGGAAGGGGGAAGCAATGTTGAAAATGCCCAGAGGTGTTGGCCAAGAGCCTAGTAGCCTTGAGATAGAGCTTCTGGGCTGGGGACTCAGGAGATACAGGCACACAACTGCACAAGAACCATCCTCTTTGCTCCCCAGCTGCCTTATGGTAAACCCCTCTCAACATCCTGCCTCACAAGATGGATACCAGGACTACAGCCAACCATGTTATCCTGAGAGGGAGTCAGACAGGGTGTTTGTACTCTGCTACCTTTTAGGCAGGCCCCCAGCATGTGGCATAATGAAATGCCCCCAGCCAATAGGCGGGTCATCTAAGAAGCAGAGGGCATGATCTACTCCACTTCAGGGGAATCTCCATGTCCTGCCCATTTCCCTTCCCTCACTGTTCCCCAAAACAAAGAGCCAATGTCACCTGTGCGAGGTGATGATGATAGACTTCCCGCATTCCCGTGTCCTGGTCACGGCATCCCAGAGCAGACGCCTGGCTACAGGGTCCATGCCAGTGGAGGGCTCGTCCAGAAAGATCACAGGAGGGCCACCAATCAGAGCAATGCCAGTGCTCAGCTTGCGTTTGTTGCCACCACTATGGAGAGAGGGAAAGGGGAATGAGAAAGGCAGATGAGGAACACGGAAGCACCGTGGCTGAGAAAACAGGCCCGCCACACTCTACTGATGGCTGAGCACAGCTACACGGCCTGCCCCACTGCCTCGCAGACAGAGAGGGACAAGCCTGAAGGGGAGAGGCCCAGGATAAGAGTCAGGGCTTCACATCAAGACACCTTCCCAAGGGTTCAGCCATTGCTGCTGTTCATACCCCGGTAGTACAGACAGCAGTGTGCACAAACCCAGTGCCTTTCGCTTTGGGGTGTCTGTCTACCTACGAGTGTTTTAGGTCCAGAAATCTGCCTTGTCACCAAAGCTGCATCCACACCAGGGGCTTTGCTAGCAGAGCTGCTCCAGCTAGGGGTGTGAAGAGATCATATACCAGGCTGATGCTACTGTTGGCAAACCTTGGCCATGCAGCCCAAGCCCATGGCTGGAAGAGGACAGCCTGGCCAGGGTCTCTTGGCAAGTCTGAAATGCAGTTGGGACTAGTATTTTGACCCCCTATGAGGTTAGCGCCTAGGCCACAGTCCTTCCCTCTCCACCTCAGGCACCCAGAGCAGATCTGCACTCCCTCACGCAGAGAGGTCTGTCAGCCGAGGCTGGCTCTGGGGCCCTGCCTCACCTGTAGGTCTTCACAAGCTTGTCCGCATAGGGCTCCAGGAGCAGCCCCCGCAACATGTTCTCTACGCAACTGCCGATGTAGCGCTCGGGGATGCCCCGTAGACGGGCGTACATGCTCAGTGTCTCCCGGCCAGTCATGTGGTCCAAGAGGGCATCAAACTGAGGGCAGTAGCCGATCCGCTGCTGGACCTTGGAACAAAGGCAGGCCAAGAACATAAGCCAGAAGCCCAGCTTCTGTGAGGTGCCTGTCCCTCTGCAGTCACCGCTCAGGGAGCTTTGTTCTTTCCATAAACAATCTGCTGCTGGAAGTCATCTGATACTCAGAGGGCAGCAACACACACATAGTCAAGCCATCAAGCCACAGTGTCCTGCAAATACTAGGCAAGGAGATCCGGGAAAGAAGCATGGATCCATCAAGTGTGTGGCCATAAGGAAGTGGACAAAAAAAACCCAGGTCCTCACCAAGTATGAGCAGAAGAGGCGCACTCAGATACCCACTGAGCAGAACCCTAGTATCAGGCTTCTCAAACCCACCAGCAGAGAGCTGTGAGACAGCTCCCTGGGTCTTGGGCCCTCACTGCTAGCTTCTCCAGGGTGGTTTCCTGATGGTCAGCCCCTTGCTTCCTCCCTAGCTCTGCTCCCACAGACTAGAGCTTAGGGACACAGGCACTTCACATGGGGCCCCAGAGTCAGAGTGCCAAACCTCCACAACCCTATTTGGTTTACTTTGCTGCTAGCCCTGCAGGTTAAATGCCTCTGTGTGCTTTGAGACTGAACATCCCCTTATTCCTGTACTGAGAGGACAGATAAACAGCAGCACCTCTGTGTCAGCCACTACCTTCGAACCATAGGGACACAGGAAATAGGGCTGGAAGGGATCTCAGGAGGCCAGCTAGCCCAACCCTCTGCTCAAGGCAGCATCATCCTTGGTTATACCCTCCCAGTCAAGTGTCTGTCAAATCTATTCTTAAAACATCAGGAGCTAACCCTCTAGCCTGCAGAGCCATGGTATTCAGCCCACAGGGCTCCCCCGGGTTGGGGAAGTTGGCAGTAGGAGAGTGGTGGCAAGTAATACTGTCACCCCTCCTCCACTGCCAAATTTCCAAACGCCAAGGCCACCACAGCTGGACTGGGGCTGGGCCATGCTCCCTCCTCACCATGGCTAAATCGAGGCTGGGCTATGCCTCCTCCTGCCATTTCCCCCCACAGCTGGGTCAGGGCCAGCTCAAGGCTCCTTCTCCCCCCACCTCCATGGAGCCAGGTCAAACCCTTTCCCCCACAGGGCCGGGTTAGGGCCAGGTGTCCCTCCCCCACCCCTGTATGGCTGGATGGGGCCCCACTGTGACCACCCTGGGTGCTGGATTGGGACCATTGGGCACCGCCCATCCATCCTGCCAGCCAAAAAAGGTTGAGCACCACTGCTCGATCACAATGCCCCAAACATCAGAAATATCCTTCAGTTTGCCACAGATGAAGCAGGGGACAAGGGCACTGCCTATGCCCTGCCACTGCAAGGACAAGAAATCATTTCTTAAAATACATGTGGGAGCTAATAGACCTCCCTCACATTCCCTCACTGTCTTCATCTGGAAGATTCCCAAGGTCTGTAAATGGTTCCTATCACCATTCCTGAGCTCTTCGTTCACTCAGAGCAGGCGACCACAACTGCACACGGCCCTCAGGCCAACACACCTCGATTGACAGAACAGGACACTCTCATTTCTATCTCCTGTTCCCCTCCATTGTGGCTGCCCCTTTCACTGCTGCTGTGCTAGGGCAGAGGTTTTTAATGTGATGCCCAGACTCTTGTTTCTGGAGTTGAAATAGTTACATGTAGTACCCACAATTAAGAATCTGCACTGTTTGTTCTAGAGAGATTGCAGCTATGCTTTGAAGTATTAGGATTTGACAGGAGTCACCAAAGATCCTAAAAAATGGCCTGTCATTTCACAGAATCATAGAAAAGTAGGGCTGGAAGGGACCTTCATAGGACCATAGGTCACCTAGTGATAGTCCAAATCCCTGTCTGAGGCAGGATCATCTGTATCCAAACCATGCCATACAAATCTATTGTCTAACCTCTTCACAAAACTACACAGTCAACATTGACACAACACAAGACATAACACCCTAACTTGCCCCAAGTTACAGCAGAAGCACTGGCACACCTGTGTCAAAATCCCCAGTCTGAGATGCAACGCCCAACACCTCAGAGGAAGGCTTAAAAAAATAAAAAACCACCACCCCTGATAATGTAGGGGAGGAGGGGGAAACAGCCCTCCCAGCCCCATGCAGCAACCAGCAAAGCCCAGAAGCATAGGAAATACCCAGAGCACAGGCATAGCTAGGCCTAAATTGTCTCTGACCACTGGCTCTTTTTGAAAACAACTTCCCCAGGCTCTCTATTCCACTGCCTCAGTGCTCTAACAATGAAGAATTTTTCCCTGATCGTTTGCAAGAGCTGTTCTCATGCCAACAAGCATGCAGTTTCTGATTCTGAGGTTCTAATTATATGCCAAGTATTTCTGAAGAGAGACTGAAGTTATCCAAGGACTGTGCTTGTGTTAGTTTTTTCACTACCTTTACAACAGAGAGGGGATGGCATTTCTTGTGACCAGTGTGACTCAGAGGAGTGGGATACCTATACAAGAAGCAGAACCTTAGCTAGGGATTTTGTTATTTTCTCAAATTCTGGTTAGACACCACCATCACCTCCCAACGAGCAGGCAAGCAAACATGAGGCTGAAGCAAAACTACCTTCCCACTTTGCCCCTTGTAATGCTACAGGCAGGAAACCAATCTTGCCTACTGGCCTGCTACACATGCAGTACCTTTTTGATATTGGCCAGGATGCTGTGGCCATCCACGTAGGCATCCCCTGATGTAATGCTCTCATCACCTGTCAGCATTTTGAAGGTAGTGGTTTTGCCGGCTCCATTGAAGCCAAGCAGACCAAAGCACTCCCCTTTGCTGACTGCCAAGGAGATCCGGTCCACAGCCAGCAGGGACTCCTGGCTGTCATACACCTGGGAGGAACCCGAGAGGAAGACACTTGGTTACAGGAAGGTCATGCAATGCTCTGATCTACCAGGGATGTATTACTGTTCCTCCCTGTACACACTGGAGCTGCTCTAGAGTGGGTGTTTGGGACAGGGCTCAGAGCATCCCTAAATTCTCACGATAAATCAACCCTAGGCTGCCAACCTGGGCTGCTGCAGGGGAGCACAGAATTGGATACATATTTCCTCTCCAGGCTGCGCCCCCACCACATCTGTGCCCCATTAGGACAGGGGCAGCTGAGCAGACTGGGCATTTGGCATCCAGTGGGTAAGCCATGATAGGCAGCAGACCCTTATCCAGCAACAGCCAAAACAAATGAGCAAACAGGGCTGCATTCAGTATTATGAAGACACCCTGGGAAGTGACAAGCCAAGGAGCATCCTGCCATGTTTCACAGAGCATGAGGTTTCCTCATTCACTCTACTGCTGTGCACTTGCCAAAAGGTCCTCCCAAAAACTACCAGTACCCCTCCTACTCCAGCATGTCCCACAGGGCCTGGCCATCACCACCACCCTTCAGGAGGGGCTGGAGTGTGAGATGTTCTACCAGGCCATCCTGGTTCTAGGGACAACAAGGGCCTGATGGCACCAGCTGGACAAACAGGCAGTCCAGGGGCAGAGAAAGTGCTCCTGTCCCCAGCTGTGCTAAAGTACCCCAAGGCCCAGGCCTGCAATAGGCCTGAGAAAACCACAGGGTGGTTTGAGAGGCTGGCACAGGCACCCAGGTCAGGGCCCTGCAAGACTTTGCTGTCTCAAGCAGCTGAGGAACACAGTCTCCCAACTCACCTTGGTGAGCTCTTTGATAACCAGGGGGCTGCTTAATGATGCCAGCAACTCTGGTGGGGACTCCAATACTTTCTTCCTCTCATCCGCCACATCCCGATCCTCTGGCAGCACAGGCACCCTGTTCAGCAGCAGTGTCTGCACCAAAGAGACATGAATGAGCTTCCAGCACTGCCCCACCACAGGGACAGCAGGTCTGCTCTGGCCTGACTCAGGGCAAGTCTCAGCAAGGACATATGCACTTTGAAGGGAGAGGGAGAGGAAAACACCTCTTTCCCCTGGCCACAACCCAGATGACCCCTCAGACTTGACCAGAGAGAAAGTCCCACCCCCTCTTGAGAATGGCCAGGGCAGTGAGCACTCTGAGAAGTGGCTGGGAAAGCCACCCCTACTGAATCCTACTCCTAGAAAGAAAGATTTGATGTAAAGAGTTTTGGGGGGTTGAAAGCACAAACAGCACATCAGAAACTGTGCTCCAGGTCCAAATTCTCACTTAGTAAATTGTGACCTAGGAAAAAGCCTAATCCAACCAGCCCTGAAATCTGCTGAATAGGAGCCCTCCAGCAGACTGGATCCAAACTGCCCAATGAAAGCAATTCCAGTCGTGCTTGGCCAATCTGGGCCCACATCACAACAGAGCCTAGGTCCATCTCCCACTTGTACCTCAGCCCCAGCAGGGAATTTGGGCCCCATTTCACTACCACACACATCTTCCTAAATGTCCCACTCACCCATTTCCTCCTCTTACAGATGCCACAGACCACAGTCCTCAGTCTCCAGAGGAGGTTTGTTTCAATTAGAAAGAGGAGGAAGAGGAAGGAGAATCCCTGGACAGCCATGGAGGTCAGGTATTTTCCAATCCCTGGTGTCTCCCATGAGAAATAATTCATCTGATAACTGATATCTGGAGGTGAGGGGGAGAGAAAGGAACCACATTACATAAGAGGGCATAGGCACTTGTAAGTAGTCAGAGTAATGCGGCGAGCATAGTGTGGGTGAGCTTCCTCCCACAGTTCTGCCAGGGCCCCATCCCATCTGCCCTGGCCTGTGACCCCAGACCTGCCCTTTCCCCACCAGCTTTGTCAGGCCTCCTGCATCTCAACCTCTTTTTCCTCTGCTACTTCAGCTATGGGCTATGCCCCGCACTGCCAGGCCAGTTCCCTATTCCATCAGCCCATGTTGAAGGCTGCAGACTGACAAGGACCTTGCAGAATTTGCTAATTCCCAATACATTTGAGCTGTCCAGACATTAACTCTGTTCTTTAGGAGATTCAAAGGTAATGATGCAATCCACTGTGCCCTTCTCTGTCCCCATGAGCCTTTAAAACACTTCCAGGTTCCTAGCTTTGCCAGAGCTACTTCCCAAAGCCAGGGAGGTAACCCTGAGGCCATGCATCCACTAATTTTCTAACGTGAACAACTAACATGTCCCGAAGTTGAGTTGACAGCAGAGTATCCAGAGACACAGAAAGGTGGGGGTCACGCCTCCTACCTGTGTATGTCAGGGCCAAGGCCTCAAATCAGCCTGAGGGTGTTCTGACCTCTCTCTCATTAACCCACATTCAGCACAACTGCCCCCTTGAGCCTTGTCCATCCAGAAAACAACTCTAGGTGCCCAGGAAGGTTCTAGCCCTCAAAGCCCTGCACCCTGGGTCCCCAAAAGGCAGGCATCATGCCTGCACCGCTTTTCTACAGGATGGAAACCTCAGTAAAAACACCCTCCTCTCACTTAACAACATCACACCAAAGAGAGGGGCTAAGCAGTGGTTTTGGTCCATTAGCACACATTAGCTTACTCTGCCCCCTCTCCAAGGTCACCTAAGACCCTTCCCAAATTCCTTTGTTCAAGTCTGATGGTGAATCCTGCTTGCTGGTTTCACACCTGTGAACCCAGAAGACCAAGGTGGGTGACTGAACAATATGTGTACTCACTGAATGCTTTGCAGATGATGATGGCTTCAACAGAAGAGGTGCAAAACTGGATAAACTCATAGTTCTGGTAGAAGTCACTGATGCACTGGCCCAAGCAGTAGTTGGGTAGAATCAAGAAGATTTTGTCCAGGGTCTTGGAGAGGTCCACTAGGCCCAGCTCTGAGAGAGACACAGGAGATGGGCTGGAGGACTACAGCAGAGTGACATGCTCCCTTTGTGGGCAAATACAGCAGCAAGACACCAGCATTCACAGAGCTAGAGGGGGGACTGAAAAGGCCCTGAGGTGCTCAACTGATGGAAAGAACTCATCAGGCATCCTGCTGCTAGCACTTTGCAAGAGGAGTCCATTGGCAGAAAGATGGGGAACTTCCTTCTGTTTGTTTCCACAGGCAAAATCACTCTAGTGTTGTATGGGTCAAGACAGGTGGCTGAGTGACAACCCAGTCAGAAGGGGAGAAGGGGAGTGGCCTTACCTGGAATGCTCATGATGGTGACTGCCAGGAAGGTGGCTGTGCCCGAGAGGATGTTGAAGATGGTAAGGCGTGTGTAGGCTGTGGCAGCCACAGAGAAGAAAAAACTGAGCAAGTACATGAGGGGAATGATAGCCCAGCCGTAAAGGAGGAAGATCAGCATCACATCAACAAGGTGGTTGTCCTGGGTGAAAGCTTGCACGTCGAAAGCTTGGAATATCACCTGCAGCACAGCATCAGCAGGGGAAGTCAACAAAAGGAACATGTCACTCCTGAGCACTGCTGATACAGCCTCTCCAACCTAGCCAGACAGCCAACAGCCAGGCTGCTATGGCCCATCTCATATGGGACTACTACACTCTGCCCATTCTTTCCAGGGCATGGAGGCAGTTATGCTTCTCAGAGATCACTCAGCTTTGGACAGTCCCTGGCAGTTTACACCACAAGCAGAGGGACTCTACTGCTGAAGAAGCCACAGCTTAGGACATGGAGAGTCAGGGCTGCACTGCTTACATGGGCCCAGCCAACCCTCCACCACAACCTTGTCCAGCAGGATCTCCAAGCAGAACAAGCGGCATTTTCCTTCTAGTCTTCTACAGATCCAGCTGGTGCTATTAGTACTGACTATACTGATCCACTAAGGCTGAATTTAAAATCACTGATAAATGGACAAGATACTTATTTAAATTCAAGTCCATGATGACATGCACTAAGCAGCAATGGCACAGCCCCATTTCATCCATTTGCATACTGACACAGTACCTATAGTTGTAGTATCTCAGATACGAGTAGATTTATGCCCCCCACCCCAACCGTGAAGAGTAGCAGTGTCATGCGAAAGTACATGTGAAATTAAGAAATTTGCCCAATATCAAAGAGGGAGCCAGAGGCAAAGCAAGTCACCAAACCCAGGTGGTCTTGCTACCAGTTCATATCCACCATGCTGAGGCTCGAGGGCTGTATGGCAAGTAGGCTGTGAATGGCTGGCCAGGAAGGGCTGCCCATGCCACCCCACCAAGTTATGCAATGAGGTACAGCCCAGCAGATGTACATCACACAGACCCTGGCCATCCCAGAAACTATCTCTAGCCCATCTGTCTGCCAAGGACAGTGGCCTGGATGGGAGAGGCCCGGGAGTACAGGAAGGAGTTGCTTGTGGGGACTCACCAGCATCAGCACACAGGGAATGAGGAAGTTGATGAGGTCCCAGAGCAGGGCTGAGAGCCAGAAATTCACCACGTAGACCCCACTGACGAACTGCACATGCTTGGCCTTGATGGCTCTCTCGCTGACCAACAGGAGGGCAAAGGTGCTGGCCAAGGAAGCCATCCCATAGAGCAAGTTGACAGCGATAGCAAACCCAGTCTGCCCTCTAAGGGAAAATCAAGGCAGCACATTAGCAGGTACAGCTGGGATGGGCAATTATTTCAGCTGGCAGGCCACCACTTAATGAGTTTTGGTGAGCTGTCAAGGGCTGCACACGTGAAATCTTTCAGAAGATATAATCTTAACAAATTATAGATACAACTAAAATCAAACATCTACTATAACATATTTTAATTTTATTTAAAAAACTAATTGTTGTCCTGATTTTTTTTGAGTAGTGTGTGTGTGTGTGTGTATATATATATATATATGAGGCAATAGCATAATAGTTCAAAGTAAAATCTTATTCTTGTATATTGTGTGTGGGGGCGGGTCTGGATGGATGTATGTATGGGAGGGTGGCCATGTGGGGTAGGTGTGGAGTGTGTGGGGTGTATGTGTGCAGGGCTGCCCATGCACTAGGTCCTGGGAGCTGGGTGGGGTGGGCAGAGGGAAGGGGAGCAGGGGGCGAGTGCAGCCGTGCAGTGCAGTGCAGGTGAGGGGCAGCAACCACACATATGGCCTGCGGCTGCCCCCACAGTACTTCACATGGGGTTGAGCCCCTCCCGACCAGGGCAATCTGTAACACCCTCTAGCCCATACCCACCCCATGCCTGCCAGACAGCACCACCCTGGCCCCATCCAGTACACACAGCTTCTCAGCAGGGCTGCAACCGCAACTACCCAGGTACTGCTTGATTCCTTTCACCTCCAGCAGCTCCTCCTCCTGCCCTTGCTGCTTCAAGCAGCTGGTAATGTGGGAAGCCATTGGGAAGTATGCAGGGCAGATGCCCAGCTGGGTGGTGGGGGCAGCTCCTGCCCCAGTGCACAGGGCTCCAGCTCCAGGCCACCTTCCACCAGACAGCTGAGTGGGGGAAGGCAGCCAGAGTCCATGCACGGGGGCAGGAAACACCCAGCTGCAGCTTCCCTCCAGCATGACTGGGCATCTTCTCCCTGGCACGCATCCTCAGGCCTTCTCTGCATTGTGCGCTACCTACAGTGGTGCATCAGGGGCAGGATGAGCTGCTGGAGGGGTGGGGGGAGCCGAGCAGTACTCGGATAGCCGTGGCAGCTGCCCTAGTGGGAAGCTGTGTGCGTTGGCTGGGGCTGGGGCCAGGGCCAGGGCAATGCTCTCTGGTGGGTGTGGGTGGGAGCACAGTGCCAGTGTGGGCTGCCCCAGGCCAGAACGGGCAGGGCTCAGTGTCATGTGGAGTGCTGTGGGGGCAGCTGCGGGCCAGAGACAATCAACTGGCAGGTGCTCACCCGTGGGCTGGATCCAGTCAGTTGGGCCAGATCCAGCCCACAGGCCATATTTTGCCCACTCCTAAGGTAAAGAGCCTGCCTAAACTCTGCATAGCTTGAGGATTTAACCTAACATGTCCCTGGACACAAGCTATGCAGGACAAACTGGGGACTGGAGCTATTGTAAGCTGTCAAGCCCTGCAACAGCCAACTTGGCCTTGATTTAAAAATGCCAGGAGGGGTCTTGGCCACCTCCCATGCCCCGTTTCAGGTCCCTGCTCTACTGAAATCATGCTAGGCAGCTGTAAAGACAGGACTCTAGTCTGGTGAGCAGACAGGTACGGCGGGGACCATCCTTGTGCTCTGACACATCCAGCATTTGCTGCACTAGAGGTCAAATCCTGAGCACTGCTAAACATCTGCCACTCCCAGTGACTTCAGCAACTGCAGGCCTTTTGTACCTCTCAAGATTCAGCCCATCCCAATCACCTGCCAGTTGGATGCTTTCCAAGGCAAAAGCAGTTCTGCACAGTTGGCAGGTCTGGCTACAGAAAGGGACCCAAGGGCTGGCAGAACAAGACACACTGTGTGACTGTATCAGCAGGGCAAATGGTCTCGGTAGCCCCTGCCCTCACCACCCTCACCTTCTGAGAAAACTGGACTCAAGCCCAAAAGGCATGAAGATACCTCAGTTTCCAAATCTTGGGGTTTGCTGTTGTACCCAACTGCAGACCCCTTGGCATGATTTTCAGATGCCTGAGGTTCAGCAGCTGGGTACCTCTCAAAGTGATCTGCACCTATGAAAAATCAACCTGGAGGTGTTTGAAGGCAAATACCATTAGGGCCACAGGGATCTGAATCTGGAGCAGCCAAGCCAGTGGTTAAGTCCTTAGTGCCACCAGGTAGCTGGCAACACACCAGCCCAACCTGGTCCCTCTCATGAGGACACAGGTGTGGAGTCAGATGACCAGGAGAAACCTATAGGAACGGTAAGCCCCTAACAGTGTGATATAACACCTCTCCTACTGCCTTGTTCCAGCAACATTGCTCCTGTGTGTACTTCTTAGACCTCTGTCTTGCTCCAGTCTGACTCCAGTCCTACTCCCGCCTTGCTCTCATTTGCTCTTGCCTGATCCCAGCTGAACCACAGTCCCTTATTTGGACCTCCCAGCTCTGATCTACTATCTGCCATGACCATGATACTGCCTCAATCCTTGGCCTGATGACTCAAGACTGCAATGGGTACCTGGTGCGACCCTGGCCTGCCTACAGTAATTCACTGACTCAGTTGTGACATATCTAGCCACCAGCACATCTACGGACAATGTGGGTCTATACGACTTGCCCAAGGCCATGCAGCTAGTGCCAAAATGGAAACAGTGCACTGAACTTGTGACCACCAGTCCCATGCCCTAGCTGAAAGAGAACGCTCCCTACAGCCATGGCTGGAACTGTGTCTAACTTCACAGAATTCTAAGTTGGACCTTCAGCTGCTGTGAGAGCAGCCAGGCTGGTTCAGATCACATGTGGTCTGATTGTCTGACTGAATTTAAGAGAGGGAGCAGTAAGAAAACTGGACATACTCCATGAGCTGGTCCTTCGCTGTCTCAGTAATGTTCCGGGGCTGCGGGTAGTTGGTGACAGCAATGGAGGCGTTGGACCCAGCCAGTAACTTAAACAGGGCATTGTCCACCAGCATCAGGGCAGTGGCGGGGGAGTGATACGCCTGGTTGTTGAACAGCGCTGTGATGACTGTGTGGTTTTTGACTTGATTGAAGGTCGCTGCTGCAATGTAGTGCTCATTGAAGGCACCACCCTCCTCAGCTGCTCGCGAGATGAGGTATTGCTCCAGATCACCTGTGACAGCAGAAACAGCTTCATCATTACAGATGCAACCCACAGAACAGGCATGCAATGGACACCAAGGGCTGGGTTATGTAAGGTGTAACAGGGGCCAAGGCCCCTGTCATTTTGACAGGGGAGAGCCACTAGCTGCTGAGGCAGCCTACTCCTCTTGTTGCATGAAGAGGAGCTCCCCAGAGAGAAGGGCTGCTGGAGACAAGACAGGCAGGGACCCAAGCCACCCAAAGGAGCTGGGATGAGAGGACTCCAAGGGCAGTATTGCTTGTGGGCAAGATTAATCCTGAGTGAGGGAGACTTTCCATTTTGAAGCAGCTTACTTGTGTTTATGTTCTGTTTTGAGCTTGATACCAGAGGACCAGGTTGTGGCTCTGGGGGGCAGTGTGGAGGCCACAGAGGAGTGTCTGGTGTGGCACTCTGTGATAGGAAGCCTAGCCTAGGGTCAGGGACCCAGAGGGCTAAGGGCTAATATAGCAGGCAGCCCAGGCTGGGGTCAAGGGCCCAGAGGGAAGACATAGTAAAAGCTGCCAGGCCTGGGGTTGGGCACCTGGAGGGCTGAGGCTAAGCCAAGGCTGGGAGCGCCAAGGCCCCAAGAAGAACAGCTCAGCCTGGGATCAGGGACCCAGAGGGCCAAGGGCTGGCTCAGAGTACACAAGTGCAAAATGAGGCTGGGGCCTAGAAGCCACGGTCCAAGGCAGAGGATCTGGGTTGAGAGGTGCAGCAAGAAGAAAAGGGCCATGGCTGGGAAGGCTGAGACTTAGACAAAGGTTTGGGGCCTGATGGCCAAAAGCTGTGTTAGGGCCAGGGATTCCCCTCTAAACAAATATCAAGTAACATCTGTGAGGCATGGACAGGAGAGGAAGGTGGCCATAAATTTAGCCCATAAGGTAAACTGGTGCCCTGAGGCACTGATAGGGCCAGGAGGCCCACAGCTTAGTGCCCAAGGGGCAAAACTGGGGGCCAACCAGGTACAAGAAGTCCCAGCCAGCCAAAGTGAACAAGGGCTCACCCTGGAACCCTGGGACAGCCTCCCTTAACACCATAACAATCCCATCAAGGATTAGCAGGCAAGGAAAAGGGAGGGTACCCTGAGGAGCCAAAGTGGAGGAAGGAGTTGCATGGCCAACAGGGCATGTCATGGCTGCCTCTAGGGCACAGTCCTGCTACAACAAGACACTAAGCAACCGCACTGCCAGTAGGGGATGCTCCTCATGTAAAAGCCTCTCACCCTCTCTGTACTGCAGAGGACATTAGGTAGCA